ACACACACACACACACACACACACACACACACACCCCAGAGCGAGCACCACCAGGAATCCCCCAATCAAAGCATCCTCCAGAGCTGAACGTCGCACTTCCTGTCAGAGACATCAGCAAACTTCAGAGGAAGAAATAGCAAACAAACTCACACACACACACACACACACACACACACACTTGACTCACAGTCTGATGATCAAACGTGTTCATACAGAATCAAACGCGGTTTCTTCTGCTGTTTTTATTCTTTATATTCTCTGACTCAGACCCAGCTCCACCCTTTGACTCAGCATCGCCGCACCCTGAGCTCAGCGGTCAGGCGTTCCTGAGTGAGACCGTTTCCTGTGGGGTGAACAGGACGTCTGTGAGCGATCGATGTCCGCTCATTAGCCGCTCACTGTGGGACATAACCGTGGATCTACATCATCCACAGCACAGTGACATCGTCACAGCACAGTGACATCATCCACAGCACAGTGACAGCGTCACAGCACAGTGACTGATTGGATTGGATGGAAACATGCAGCCACCCTAAGAACCAATCACAGCAACAGAGCAACCACAGAGAGTAGTGACAGGAAGTAGGAGGGGCCTGTTATGAAATTTTCTCAACTTACTCCCAGCCGGTCACTGGCCCCGCCCCTCCCTGAGCCTGGCTCTGCTGGAGGTTTCTTCCTGTTAAAAGGGAGTTTTTCGTTGTGCTGGCTCACAGCGGCTCATACGACGTTTTGTGTATTATTGTCGGTCTTTACAACATGAAACACGTGGAGGCGACTGTCGCTGTGCTGCTATATAAACATCACTGAACTGAGCTGAATAGTAACATTTTAACAAGATAGCAACATTTTCTGAGGTCACACGCGTGTCCGCCGCAGCGTCATGAAAGCATCATGGCTGTGACAGCATGACAGGAAGTCAACATTCAGCCCGCTGCTCTTTGTCGATTTTAGAGAGAAAATAGTTCCTCCATGAAACTGAAGAGTGATGGGGTCATCCTTCTCTTTGACCCCTAGCTGGTGTTGGGTGTGCATCGATTCCTGAGCACATACGCTGCTGTGGGTGCCAATGGTTGTCAAATTTCCTTCACAACTCGTTGCCATGCATGGCGATCGTTGGCGTCCCAGCAGGCTGAAGGGATGCAGAAGAACTGAGCTCAGGCGGCTCAGGCTCATCGATCAGATAAGAAGAACAATAAGTGTGTTAGAAATCACATCCTGCTGGGATACAGACCCTTCACTCGTCATGAGCTCACTGGTCTGAACCAATCATGATCCTGTGTGACCCATGAACTGGTGGTCCACGCCCACAGGTGAGGACCAACAAACTGCACTGTGGATCTTCACTGTCACTGAGTCCACGCCTCGTGTAGGGCTGTTCGATATAACGATATATATCGGATGACGATATAAAAACATTTGTCGTTTCCTATCACGCTATCATTTGTTTCGTGGTGTCGCAAAATAAACTGTTTACAGCAATATTTTTCATGGTTCTGGTGTCACTGTAGTTATTATTAATTTCTTAAAGTTCTC